ATATATATATATATATATATATATATATATATCACCATAAAATTACTAAGAGTAAGTAATTATATAAAGGTTAAATATATTTTTAGTTTTAAATTTTAATATGGAATTGAATTTTTTCATTATTCAAAATTTTGATATAATTCTAACTTCAAATTTAAAATATGAATATATATAGTCTTTAAATTGTTTATATTTAAACTCAAAATTTAAAATTATAATGACATTTTTGTTAAAAAAAATATCCACACAAATAATTAGACTCTTCAATTCATCATGGTTATTTTCATTGACCCTTGACATTATTTTAATAAGTGTAAATAGGGACAAGTACAAAAAATAAAAGGCTTAATACCCTATTTTGTCCCTAGTTTCGTTCGAAAATGTCAAATTAGTTCATCCTTTAAAAAATGTGTCAATTACGTCCTAACTTAATAAAATTTGCATCAATGAAATCCCTTCCGTTAAATCCGTACAAACGGCGTTAATTATTTTTCTCTTTTTTCTACTTAGATAATTAACGCCGTTTGTACGGATTTAACGGAAGGGATCTCATTGATGCAAATTTTATTAAGTGAGGACGTAATTGACGCATTTTTTAAAGGATGGACTAATTTGACATTTTCGAGCGAAACTGGGGACAAAATAGGATATTAAGCCAAAATAAAAACAAAATATATATGATTATACACTCCTTTTCATCATCTTCTTCTTCTGTAGGGAGGATTCTCTCACTTTTTTTTCTCAACTCAACATAATTTAGCAGTGTGACTGAACTTATCACAATTGTAGCACTTCCTTGATCTGCAGTCGTTTGCATAATGGTTGTGCTTGCCACACTTAAAACACTACAGACATAGTTTGACTCGAATGAAACTCAGATTACTCAAAGAATAGGTCCAAGAGGTCGAGGACGATATGGACATGAACGAGATAATTTTGAAAATGATAGTGAAGAGCAAATCGGTCAACAGAATTGGCATGACCGATCTCCTCGACCTTTCCCTTTTCCTCGGTCATGCCAATTTTGCTGACCAGTTTGTTCTTGATTATCATCCTAAAAATTACTTCGACCACGTCTACCTCGGCCTCCTCAACCTCGGCTCTAAGTAATCCAAGTTTCATTCAAGTCAAACTTTGGTTGTCGTCAAGTTCCTTATCTTTCTTTTTCTTTCCCAGTTTATGGGCCTTTAATTACCTAGCTAACTCCTCACAATAAGAATTAACATATAATTTCATCTTTTCAATTCTGACCACAATACTTTCAAAATCATTCGTTAGATTTCTTAAGATCTTTTTCGCAACCCGGTTAGGAGACACCTCTTCTCCGTTCATGGCTGGCAATCTTCCGCACTGCTCGAACTATAAACTCCGCAACTCCCATTTTCATCCATCTCCATATGTTCAAACTCTCTTACGAGATCTTGTACTCAGACTTACCTCATGCAGATATCTCCTTTGTCATCTCTAAAAAAACTCAATCACTCACTTTTTTCCCTCATGGTGTTGGACTCTCTCCTTTCTTTTTTTTTCTTCCGTACTCAGAGCACAAACTCTGAAAAGTAGAAAAAAAAACCGACTCGCAAAAATAATTAGACTCTTCAATTCACTCTGGTTATTTTTATTGAACCTTGACAACCTTTAAATAAATACAAATAGGCCAAGTACAAATAATAAAAACTAAAAACAAAATATAACTTACTTAAAATAAAAACAAATATTTAATCTATCTCTATTTTATATTAATAAAATAAAATAATATTCCACCTAAATAAATAAAAAATCAAAATTACCTATTCTTATTTTATCTTTAACAAAATTAAACTAAATACTATTAAAACCAAAACTAATAAAATAAAATTTAATCAAAATTATTAATAAATTCTTAAAATTTAAGTTTATTTCAACTTTTTTAATCTATAAGATATTGCATGTTTTTGTTACTGAAAAATTTTCGGGTTGTCGCGTAGTAAAAAAAGCTTTGAGTTCTTAAAAAAAAAAACATAATATATGAATACAATAGTGAATAACTGAATCGAATTATATCTGTTATGGCAATATCTTGTATTTAAGGTTTATTAGATAAATGAATAAAAAATATATAACATAAATAAATGCTGTTACCAGAATTATGGTAATTAGTTATAATATTATATATAAATATTTTGAATTGTTAATATCTCACATAGTAACGTTGTTAATTATTTAAATTTCAACTAGTGAAAGAAATACAAAGATTGCATTAACAATTGTTTTTATATTATTGAAAACTAAATTAATTTAAAAATGCCATTAATATTTATATTGAAATTATAAAATATTTTTTAAAAGGAGAATCTACAAAATATTTTTATTAATTTTGTTAATGTCATAATAAAAGTATTTTTAGTTTGTGATCAAAATAAAATATTAAAAGATAATTTTAATTTTATACAGTATTATTTTTAGAGGTTGCCTGTGCATATTTTTTTAATTTGTTATTGAAGTATAAATCCAACTGCGAAACAGAAGAAAATTAAATATTAGATTGCAACAAAGAGGAGGTGCAGGTAGCAAGAGTAGGGTGCAGAAGTCATTGTCTTCCCCGTTTACTGGTCACAAACCGTCGTCGTTTTCATTCTATGCCTAATTTCCTTTCATTTCAGCCACCATACCACAGTCCTTTTAATTTCGTCGCAAAATCTGAACCTTTTAACTGTCTCCTTCGCCATTGCTCCTAAATTACTTGACTAAGGTACTCTTCCCACAATCAATTTATGCATTTTCAACTTCAACGTTTTTTTTTCACGTAAAATTGATAACAATTTTTTTTTCTTGGGGACTAATTGATTTCATTTACTTGTAAAAAGGGTAAAGCAAGGAGCCAGAGTCCCAGAATCCATGGAAACGCAGTATGAAAAACTCGAGAGAGAAGACTCTATTACCGACAGTTCCTCAGAAGATGTGGGTAACTTGACAAAGTTTCATAAAGTTATATTTTTTGTTTTTTTGGATTTCTTCAAAACTAGGTTTATAGTGAGTGAGAAGTGTGATTGATTTTGATGACTACAGGAGGAGCAGGAGATAGAGAAGGAGTTAGCAGATGTAACGTTTGAGGAATTGCAGAAAGCACGCTCGAACGGGGCACATGCTTTTATTCAGAAACCCAAAGAAGACAAAAAGTTAAAAAGGGCTAACAAGAATAGGTATTGCATTTTAACAGTTTATTAGAGTTTTTTTTTTTTAATTCTGATTCTTTTGTCCATGAAACCTCATGCAAAGAAATCTGTAATGTTTTACTAGGCCGATGGAGGCCAGTAGCAAGAAGCCAGTTTCTGCTTTTAGAGAAGTCATCCAAGCTCCAAAGAAGGTAGATTTATTTGTTCCTTGTAAAGAGTGTAACTTTCTTTTAGTTTTTGCTTTAAATTTATGTTACTTTCTGTCACTGAGTTCGTGAGGTTTAACTCCTTAAACTCTAATGAGGCCCTGTAGAAGCTTGCGTAGCATTTTTACATTTTAGACCTACTAGGCTTCTACCCTATAGGGCCATTTGCAAGCTTGTGTAGAGTAGGAAGATCAATTGCAGTCTATATCTTGTTTGCTTTACACATGGGCACACATTCTCACATATTATGAAGACTCTGAGTGTCATGTATGTAGACTTTGGATGTGAGATGGGTTAAGTGAATTATTGCAATACCTCTCGCTATGTAAGTGTTTATTAGAAGTTTTAAAATGTTTGTGCTGTTGCTATGATGTTGAGTTGTGGAAGTTATGTTAAATTTGAAAACTGATATGATTAATGATTTTTTCATCATTTTACGTGTCGTTTATTATTCTGAGTTTCTACACGGTTAATAATGTCAGGTTGTACGTGATCCAAGATTTGAATCTCTTTGTGGTACACTTGACCCTGAAGGGTATGTTCACCTCTTGACATGTGCTCTTTATTCTTCTTTTCCTTTTTAATGTTGTTATCATGTACACTTGTTTAGTTGCAATGCAGTTATCATTATAAACTTCAAGAAATTTTGTGCTACTTTTAAGTTGTGTTAGTTCTGGTTGCCTTTGCTGTTTTAGAGCATGTCTAGCCAAGTGCCACTACTTAATATCTTAAGAAGACGCTAGTTCCGTTCTTATAGAGGAGTCAACTTAGTGAGAGTGGTTAAAGCAGTGAAGAGAAACATGTAAATTTCAAATGAATGACTTTCTTAATGTGAGGAAATTTTAAACAGTCAAGTATGACATAGTTCCTGTTGTAGATAATAACCTTTTCACTGTCATAAATAATTATCTTTCAAGATATAAAAAGCTTCTGATATCCTTACTTAAAACATATTATGCGTCTACTATGTTGAAGGATCCTTATGTTGATCTGTATCTTAGTGCATAACCAAGTAGTTTCATTTTAAACAATGCTTTCAACTAAATCTGGGAACTTCTCTTGTAATATGTGCTTGGACTTGCAGGTTTAAGAAGAGGTATAATTTCTTATATGAAAACGATCTTCCAGCTGAAAGACAGGTAGTCTTCCAGATTATACGTGTAGAATTTTTTGTAGGGCTTACTCTATGAACTCTGATTACATCATCTTGTTGTACCAGGCTCTGAAGAAGGAACTGAAAAAATATAAAGATCTGAAGCGCATAAGTGAAATAGAAGAACGTATATCATGGGTTGTACGTACTTCACTATTACTAGTTTGTCTTCTACCTCCAAAAGTATGATATTTATTGATTTCCTCATCATATATTTATGTTTTTTCAGGATAAACAAATGAAGTCGGATTCAACGAAGAATATTGATACAGCAATATTGACGAATCATAAAAAGAAAGAGAGAGAAGCAGCAAAGCAGGGGAAACGTCCTTTTTATCTAAAGAAATGTGATCCTTCCTGCCTTGCTCTCATTTCTATTCACAAACAGATCAATACATGTTAAATGAATTTAATGAAGCATCACTATATATGCTCACATCCTTTTCCATTCCTTGCAGCTGAAATACGGAAACAAAGGCTGATTGAGAAATATAATCAGCTCAAGGTATACATCTTAGAACATCTTTTTGTGTTTACCCCTGCCCCCACCCAATTATACCACTTGTTTACTGTCTCTCTTTTCTGCTAAATCTATCTGTTCATCATTTTTAGTCATCTGGCAAACTTGAAGCATTTGTTGAGAAAAGGAGGAGAAGGAATGCTGCTAAGGACCACAGATACATGCCGTATCGTAGATCTGGTGATGCCGAATAAATTTTGTAGCTTCTTAAGCTATAATTATATACTGGAATATAGCACCAAAAAGAAAAGTAATATATGTTTTCTGGCTGCCAGCTTTGGGGATTGAATATTGACGTTTGTTGATGGCATCATGGCATTTAATTTGTGACTCTTGAAGATTTACTAATCATCGGGGAATGAATTGGTGGCACTTGGCTACTAGGAAGTCTTTTGAGTCTGTGTTATGTACTTGTAGGAGGGATGTATTTTCCATTATCATTAGGTTACTTGTTTTAGGAACCGTTTGGTTAAGATTTTCTCAGAAAGAAAATCTGAATATGAAAAAAAAGGCTTTCTTATTACTCTTAGACGCTACCTTGTTGAGTAGCTTATGAAAGATATTTCACGAAACATGAACGCAACCAAATATGAGAAAAGAGGTGTGTTCTTAACATATCTCTATTCATCATTGATGACTTGATTAACCAACTACTTTGCAGACTCAATTTGAATATTCCCATAAACAATTTAATGGCCTTTTCATGGTTTGTCACCCGGGTGAACAAAAGTATGACATTGCTTCTTTGTTGATTTGCATCTTTGGAGAAATTCATGTTTTACTCCTAGGTGTATTTCGCCAGAACTGGAAATGCAAATTAACCTGAAAAAAAATGGTAGAAAAGTATGTTTGAAGTTGATGGCCGGTATGTTGCACTTTAACCTGTATGAGGAACTTTAAGCATTAAACTCCAGCTGCAAGTGCTCGTCAACATAAGCATATGCTGTAATTGGATCTCCCATAGGATTCCCAAAGTAAATATTGTGTTAATCCACCATATGGAACAAAGCAAATATTATACTAACCAATTCATTTTGATGGTGACAGTGGTAGTGTGGTTCAATGGTGAAATATGTTTGGGTCTTTTTTCTTTTTGTGAAGCAAAAGCCTAATCCACATTCTTACACGGAATAATGATTTGTTTTTCTTTTCTCCAGAACGAATTCACTTTATATCAAGATTTAAACAAGAAAACCAATACAAGTTCTCTAATATCATTAAAATAGGTAAACGAACGTCCAAAATATTAAAATTTTGAATAAATCACAAGCCAAATTCTGATTCTATTACTAAAATGTAGTCATTGACTTTGATTTTTTTTAACTAAAGTTAATAAATTAAGTGTCAATTTCAGCTTTATTCTTTTTATGATATTTTGAATTTAAATGTATATATATATATATATATATATATATATATAACACAACCTATTTGACAATCAATTATATATTTGAGAAAACAAAACCATAGGAAATTACCATGACAATCAATTATATATTTGAGAAAACAAAACCATAGAAAATTACCATATACTTTATTGATACCTGTTCCAAACCATAGTTTTTTTGGCCATTTGAATGAAAATGTCAAGCTTGGTATCATGACACTTGTAAAATTTATTGATTTTTTAAAAGACATGACCGTGCTGATTGGGATGTCGAGCTTATGTCGATGCTTAGGATGGACGAGTTAATTGTAATGGAGGGATGAATGACCTAGATGGTAGGGATGAATGTGATGATCGGACTGACAAAGATGGCTGTGCTGATGGGATGATTGAGAAGGACTGACTGATCGATTTAGACAGGCAAGCCAGGATGGATAGGATGACCCAGTTGGCTGTGATGGTTAGGTTGAAGACATGGTCAGGATGGACAAACTAATGATATAGCTGGGCTAAATGGATGGAGGGCTTGATTGGGATGGATTGGGCTGACTCGATGACTAGAACGTACGAGATGGACCGACTGAAGGGATGATTGGGTTGGTCGGGATGGATCGATTGACAAGATGGCCAAGATGAACCTACTGGCCGGGATTGCTCGGCTAATACGGATGGCCAAGATGGGTAGCCTGGCTAGGATGGACATGTTGACGGGCTAAACGGATGACATGGATGGACCTGTTGGACGATCTAGCCAGGTTGGCCAAAATGGACGGGATGGCCGGAATGGCTGTGATGGACAAAGGGATGGACGGGCTGATGAGATGGTCAGGATGTTAGATTTGACAGGACATGCCTTGATGTTGGACTAATAGGGATAGGCAGAATAAAAAGAATGGAACAAATGGACCAGGCTAACTGGATGCCCGTGTAAGACAGGCTGCCGGGATGGACTTGCTGGTTGATCTGGTTGAGTAAGCTAGGATTGACGGGATGGTTGAACTGACTATATTGGGTGTGCTGACGAGATGGTTGGACTAACTCTGTTGAGTGTGCTAACGGGAGGTCGAGGATGACTAAATAGACGTTCTAACAAGGTGGTTGGACTGGTTAGGATGGACAAACTGACGAAATGATCGAGATGGACCAATTGACCTGGTTGGATAAGATGAACCAGATTGATTGGATGGCTAGGATGAATTGGTTAACGGAATGCCTGACATGGACGAGCTGGACTATTTGCTTGAGCTGGTCAAGATGGACTGGATGAGCAGACTGATGGGATTGACGGGCTGGAAAAGTTGGCAGGTTGGTGTGATGGCCATGTTGATGTGCTGACGAAATGATCGGAATGAATATATTATTCGATTTGGCTGGATCGACTGGGATGTAATGGATGGTCGAGTTGGTTGCATTAGACGTGTTGAAAGGTTAGCCCTGATGGATGGGCTGGTTAATCTGACATGATGGTCGTACTAGCCAAACGTACCAGACTAAAATAAATTCGATGGCTCTAGACTCAATAGATGGGTTGGTATGTTAGACTTAATCCTTTCTACCATCTCTACTTAAATAAAAAAGCCTATGCATAAGCATAGGTCAAGAGACTAGTTTAAAAATAAAAACTGAAACTGTCAATTATTTAACGATGTGATAACGACTTCTTCCGTAATTTTCTTAAACTTATATAGTATTTTTAAAAGTTATCTATTTTAATTATTAATGACAAGTACTCAGATTTATTGAAAACTATAAGACTATTAAGACAAGTTCTTGGATGTTCAAAAAAAGCCAGATAGCTTTGTCAACAATAAAACAAACACAATAATCCAAACTATTACACTAGCCTTGGTCTTTCGAGAAGACCAGACTCCCCCTAGCCTTCCTTTTACAAAAACTTCCTAAAAAAACTCCCAAAACAACCCACATATAGACTACAACCCCATAACAGGCAATTATAATTGCATGTTATTCTTATTTCTCCAAACCTACACTTTCCCACTGAACCTATCAATTACCTAATGTATCAATACATCAATTTAGGTAACCTATCCGTATTCGATACTTTAGGATACTTTATCCATATTTATTTATAAAATATCTAATCTATAAAAGAGTAGTATGACAATAATTTTTTATTTTATATTTTATCAAAGTTTAATATATATGATTTTAATTTGAATTTACACCATAACAATGATATATTTATATGTTTTTAAGAATTTTTGTATATTTTTCAATGTACATCGTATCTTATTATTTTCAAAATAAACATATCAGTGTATTTGATACATAAAAGTTAGAGCATTTTGGACCAAAAAGGGGTCATGAACCAATTAGAAGAGAAACAAGTTTATCTGTTCTCACAAATTTGAACGACTGCACACTTTATCTGCTTCTGGAGCCTACATATGCAATAGGAGGAAATTGCCAATATAATTGAGTAACTTTAATTAACTTTTGGAATGAGCTCCAACATAAAAATACTTTCAAAAGAGAGAGCTCAAGTATATTATTATGCATGGAATAAGAGCAACAAATTCCAGCTGTGTTAACAAAGGAAAAAAAAATGCTACTTTTAATGCCAAGATAGTTCATCTTGCTGTTATCAAATCTGATCTCATTCCTGCTGTTCCATATCTCATCTATAATCCCAATCACAGCAACTTGAATAAACTAGATTTGAGCACTCCATTCCAAGTGAAAGATTGTCCAAGCATTATCCAAGGAATGAATAAGAATTGGAATCCTTAGTAGATCAAGTAACCAAGACCAAATTCTACTCGCCACACAACATTCTAAAAAAGATGAATCATAAAAGCCCTTGCTTTCTCAAAATATCATTAGTTGGTAGCTTGCTAAAGATCAACCTTCACAACATGAAAAGATCTAGAAAAGGGTATAGCATTATGGTAAATAGATTTTTACCATCCAACACCTGCTGAGGCACCTTTAATGTGCTGATAAGATTGCTCAAGACAGAACAATCCATCATTGGAATTAGTCCATCTCAGAAATTTTGGTTGAGGCTTAATAGGGATCACAACCTTTTTACTGCATGAAGAGATTGATGTGCCTCACAAGGAAGAACAGAAGGTATGCCAGCAAATATTGGACCATCAGTTGTTCTCTGAGCAAAACTCAGTAACAAATTACTTCCATATATATATAATTTAGGATTACAACCCTAATGAGGTTCATACTTCATACATTCCAAACAATGAATCCACATAAATTCAATGCAAGAACAAGCCCATCTACCAAGCAACATATTGCTGCAAGAAACAGGAAAAGAACATACTAATATATTGGACAAAAATTTATACAAGAGAAAAATAATTAGAATAACAGATTACATAAACCAAAGGCAGAGTAACTACACACTAGTTTCATTGTGGGAGACAAAAAAGAGAACCAAACAAAGGAATATCTAATTCATTTAGCCACAGAATAGTAAATGAAGATGCCTGAAATCTGAAAAGGATTATTTCAGTCTGACTTAAGCTAAAAGCTCTTACTACCTGTTCTGGAACTTTCAATCAGCAACATTAACATATTTATGCATCTAATGTTAAAACTTCAAACTAAGGATTAATCTCTTGGGTCAGTACTAGACAACTTCAAGCATTTACTCTTTATGTTTTTTGTTTGTAGTCTATGCAAATTCAATTACCAAATGTTTAGGCAGAAGAGAAGTTTCATGAAAAAGAACTATGCAAAAAGACATGCTTATTTATACCAGAATTTTTATAAAGTGCATGAAAGAGCTCAAGTTTCGAACACCAGGCTAGCAACAAAATCTAAACTCATAATTCATTAAGCAAAACACAAGTCACTGCTGTTAGACCTGGATAGTCTAATCTTAGCCGTCTATTATTGACAGTTTAGTCTTAATTATCTTGTACAGTTTGGATAAGATACCATATGTTTTTTATCATAAAAAGTACTTTTAAGATTTGATGTACTGATATTTTGAACTAAGTGTGTTAAACAAAACAAAAGATAATCCGATAGTCACCATATTATTAACACCAAAACTCCTACTCTTTACGAATACCACAAACGATGCATCTTGAGAAGCCAAATCAGATCAAGACCTGCCATGTTATACGAGACACAAATTCATTTTTGAATTTGTTGGACCATTTGGAAGCAATAACAAGTTGACTCTTGAAAACCAGTGTCGATTTTGACACAATAAACCTACCTTTTCTAGAATTGTATGCTCAAGCTGATCAGATGTTTAAAATAACAGTTGCTTAATATGTACCAAGTTGAGAGAAATAATAAAAGGTGTCAATTAAAATAATACTTGTATGTGGGAAGATAAAAGAGTAGTCAAGAATGACTCTGTGAACTTGTGTAAGACAGAACTGACAAAAAAAAATACTTATGTAATCTTATGATTTCAAACTCTATTTTCAACCAGGAAACATCTTATTAGACTGTTTACCCATAGGTGAAAGTGTTTTAAAGATCTATTTAACCCTTTTTGGATGTTGAAATTAGTGTAACTATTTAACTCCTAAGTAATCCTATCAAAGGCATGCTAAGAGGCTTTGGTAGACTTCTTTTAACCTACACTTTTAACCTCTCTATTCTTTCAATATGAAACTTTGGTCAAGAAAAATCCATCTTCTTTTGTTACTCTCAGATGGCTACCTTTTTTATTACTCTCAGACTTTAAGTAGCTTGTGAAAGATATTTCATGAAGCATACATGCTAACAAATGTAAGAAAGAGTTGTGTTCCTTAGATACCTCAATTCACTACTCATAAGTTGATTAACGAACTGCTTTGCAGACTCAAATTGAAGATTCCCATAAGCTTGTGATGTTTCAATTGATTTGTCATTAGGGTGAAGTTAGGTATCACACTATCAGCTAACAAACATATAATGCTAATGAAAACCAACACCTTGTAGGAATTTCCAAGTCATTACAGCGAGCAGTTGTCATAGCTTATTTTTATACCAGTAGCAATAAAAAATTAGTGTTAAAAATGCTGTTCTGAATCTTACTATCTACTTCCATCAAAGATTTGCGACTATCATACGTTAACCTTGTGTTTTTTGTGAAAAGTAAAATATAAGGTGAAAGAAGAGGTCATCCTAGAATTTAAAAAATTTTAGTATAACCAAGTTAGGAAAAAGTAAAAGGGATAAAAGTAACAAGGTTTTACTACTCATTCACTTATTTTAATCCATCTACATGCTAAATAGAGGGTTTCAAGAGTATTTTCACTACACATAATCTTCCTAGGTATTATGCTTGGATTGGAATGACTAGGAGAGGTCGTGCCTTATGCAAGGTAATCCCATATTTCTCAGATATATCCATGTCTTGTGGCTTTTGTCCATCTTTCAGCTTCCAATTATAGTTGCATAGAAGAGAGGCCAATACAATATGCACAGTTCTGGAAGCCAATGGCAATCCAGGACAGATCCTTCTTCCTGCTCCAAAGGGTATTAGTTCAAAGTCTTGGCCCTTAAAATCAAGGTCACTTTCCAAGAATCTTTCAGGTCTGAATTCATCTGGGTTTGTCCAAATACTTGAATCTCTACCCATGGCCCATACATTAACCAGAATTTGGGAACTTTTAGGTACCATGAAGTCACATAGTTCAACATCAACTTCTGGCTTGTGTGGCACTAACATTGGGATAGGTGGATGCAAGCGGAAAGTTTCCTTAACCACTGCTTGTAGGTACGGAAGCTTTGAGATATGTGATTCTTCTAGTTGCTCACCTTTGACAAGAACTTGGTGAAGCTCTTCCCTCACTTTTTCTAGCTTTTCTGGGTTACGTAGCAACTCAGCCATAGCCCATTCTATAGAGCTTGATGTTGTGTCTACTCCAGCCACAAATAAATCCTGACATATGCGGCCAATTAGTAAAATAATATACAACATCACATAAAAATTTTACACACACACGACCACTTACCAGAAACAAATGCAGAACATGAGGGCGAGTCACTTGTGAATTGTCTTCAAGCATGAGTTCCAACACAGAATCCAACACGTCCTTGAATGCCTTGGCTTCATTTTCTAATGCCGTTAAACGCAATCTTTCTTCTATGAGTCCATCAAAAAACGCAATTAACTTTCCAAAGTAACCATTCATTCTTCTCCGAGCACCCTGTGGATCAACCATGCGAAAGATTGGAAAAAAGTCAACAACATTAGGCCTTCCAGCTTCTTCCATGATGCCCCAAATGATGTCCTTGAACTCTTGAGACTTGTCAGAAGCGTAGTGAGCTAAATCCATTGAGAAGAAAGTGTTTGATATGGAATTAAGCACAGTTGTGAAGGAAGCCTCACCAATATCCAAGGCTTCACCTTTCTCACGTCTTTCCTTGACATAATCCATCAATTCTTGCACCTTCCTCTGTCGACAAACTTGCGTGGAATCAAGCTGCTGAGAAGAGAACACTTTGGTGGCACAAGCTCTCCTAAGGGTCCTCCACAGTGCTGAAGGTGGCATCCACACCACTGAAAGTATGTGATGATCAAGAGCTCGAAGAGTATCTGGGATTGTCCTGTTGGAAAAGATTTGATCATGTTTTTGCAGTACTTCTTTGGCAACATGTGGAGATGAAATGACGATGGTGGTAGTGCTACCAAGCTTGAGACTCATAATAGGACCATAAATTTGAGAAAGTTTGGCAAGTGCTTGGTGAGGCTGATTTCCAAGCTCCAGGATGTTTCCTATGATGGGAAAAGGGTGAGGCCCTGGAGGGTATTTTGATGTTTTCATTGGTTTGAAGCTTGAGATGAGTACATAAATGGTTACACACACTATGGTGATCTGAAGAAGTGGAAGAAGGTACTCCATTCTTTTGCTTCTCTTGTGGACACTGGAAAATTAGAGACTCAATCGTAAGATTGAAAGCTAATTCCTCCCAACAAAGTATATATATGGAAACACATTTGCTAGTTTAAAATTTGACGAGGATTTCATTTTAACTTAATTTAAAATATAAAATATGAAAAAAGATATTTATTCATGTCGGTTGTAGAAACTCCAAAATTTGATATTCCCTAAAAGTGATACTGAGTTAAAAATAAGAGATATTAATAATACACAGTCAATTACAGAAAACTGTTGATATAGTTTTAAAATAAAAAAATTATTATAAATGATAATTTATTAATGACAATACTAAAATAGTTTTACGCTGTTACTAAATAATCTTTAAATTGTACATTCATTTGAGAATGAATTTACACTCACAATATTATGCCGAGACTGATAGCATATCGTGCCTAACTAAAATTTTGGAGAAATGTAACAGATAATATTCCATTACGTTTTTAATATGTTGATCGTGTATTAGATGAAATTCCAATTATTTAAGATTGTCTAGTGTTGATAGTGTATTAGATGAAATACTTATGTTTTACATTATTTATTATTTATTTATTACATTGTCTTTTAAACGAACCATAATTATGTTTTTCATTTTGTTATTTTTAGTAGTTAATCAAAATTATAAGATGCTGCATTTTTTTTTCTCTAGAAAGGTAAGAAATGATCAACATTTAAAGAAAACAAAAATAAATTCATCTTTTAAGAAAAAATAATAATATTCTCTTACAAATAAAAACACATAACTACAAAGAAAACTATTTTTTTTAAGTTTTCTCTTCCTACAAAATAAAAAGAAAGAAATTATAGTGTGTTTTATTACAAAAATGTTATGAACTTTTTATAACAAGAAAAATAATTATTAGAATAAAATTAATTTGATGTAGCACTTTTGTTCTCATATTCTCTTACTAGATGTTGATTCAAATCTTCAATCATGTTTCGTTCTTTCTCCTTTAATGTTATTTATTTTCTAAAGGTTATAGTGAGATTAATCTCACGTAAACTTGTTAATGTCAACTACACTTTATTTATGTGAATATTTAACATATCAACACTTCTTTCCTCTCACTTCTTAAACATAATTGTAATGTATACCTATGTGTTTTTGTTATGGAATGAAAGATAATTTATTTGTGACTTATAATATCTCAATAAAATTTCAATTCAAAAAAACATGAAATATAAAAGAAAACTTCCTAAAATATTATTCTATTACTTATCATTTACTGTATTACAGAATACATATAAAATGACTTTTTATATATACTTCATAAATTACATTAAATAACTATATTAATTAAAAAAATATAGCTACTAGGAAGGAAACCTAAAAATAAGGAGAAAAAATAAAGTAGACTAAAGTCATACTTCAGATAAGTATATAAAGATTACCAACTTTTCATAGTTCAACTTCCTATTTAACGGTGATCTTTAAAGAATATATATATATATATAAAAGAAAGCTTAAGGAGAAGATGTTGTTGATAAAAAATACAATAAGGATAATATAAGAAGAGTAACAATGTGAAAAGAGGAAAAAATTTAAAGTGTTCCTATATCGTCTGAAGCTCAATATTTTTTGGGAGAAAAATCCTTGTAAAAGAGACCAACACTTTCAAGTGTTACAAATTGTATTGTATTAGAACATATATCCTCTCGATGAGAGTTAATTGTCTGTATCTTGTAGAAAATCCATTTGTGAATTTGTTGTAAGTTTTGAAGAGAACTCAAATACTTGTTTGTTCAGCTTAGGTTGAGTTGAACGTCTAGATAGTTGTCTAGGGTTAGATCCTAGAGAGGCTAAACTCAATCTAGTTGTGTTGATTAGGAAACTAGGAGTGGTGCTAATACTTGTTGTAACCAAGAGTGGTGAGAATACTCGATGAGATCCTACAGAGGTAAAACTCGTGTATTGGAAAAAAAATAATGGAACCCTTTAAGAAAGAACTAGATGTAAGGTTGAGTGAACCAATATAAAAATTTGTAGTTTACTGCTGTCCTATCCAAAACACTTTCCATTTATCTATATCATTAAAAGCCAACGTCTAACCATTTTAAAATTCATATACATTATCTTTACAAGTCATTAAACGCTGCTTTGCGAAAAGAATTTGAAAAACACCAATCCCCCTCCTCTACTGTCTGTTTTTCTTATATATTTCAACAATTGAGTATTCTTTATCAAACATCCACCTCTACTTAGGATATAGAGATAAGATATTTTTGGGATCTTGAATGATACTTTTTTTTTTTTTACTTAAGATGATTGTTTGTCAATGTGTGAGAGATTGAAACATTCTTCCTTTTAACTTGTTTATTTGAATACTATAATGTTCTTCCCTTAAGCTTTAGTTGTCTTAATTTTCTTTTTCAACATATTTGCACTATGCACATAGTTTCTCATGTTGGGTACAAACAAAGTCCTACATCGGATAAAATAAGAGATGGACATGGGTTTATATACATATAAGATACCTTCATTGGTAAGAGANCTTTCCTTGACATAATCCATCAATTCTTGCACCTTCCTCTGTCGACAAACTTGCGTGGAATCAAGCTGCTGAGAAGAGAACACTTTGGTGGCACAAGCTCTCCTAAGGGTCCTCCACAGTGCTGAAGGTGGCATCCACACCACTGAAAGTATGTGATGATCAAGAGCTCGAAGAGTATCTGGGATTGTCCTGTTGGAAAAGATTTGATCATGTTTTTGCAGTACTTCTTTGGCAACATGTGGAGATGAAATGACGATGGTGGTAGTGCTACCAAGCTTGAGACTCATAATAGGACCATAAATTTGAGAAAGTTTGGCAAGTGCTTGGTGAGGCTGATTTCCAAGCTCCAGGATGTTTCCTATGATGGGAAAAGGGTGAGGCCCTGGAGGGTATTTTGATGTTTTCATTGGTTTGAAGCTTGAGATGAGTACATAAATGGTTACACACACTATGGTGATCTGAAGAAGTGGAAGAAGGTACTCCATTCTTTTGCTTCTCTTGTGGACACTGGAAAATTAGAGACTCAATCGTAAGATTGAAAGCTAATTCCTCCCAACAAAGTATATATATGGAAACACATTTGCTAGTTTAAAATTTGACGAGGATTTCATTTTAACTTAATTTAAAATATAAAATATGAAAAAAGATATTTATTCATGTCGGTTGTAGAAACTCCAAAATTTGATATTCCCTAAAAGTGATACTGAGTTAAAAATAAGAGATATTAATAATACACAGTCAATTACAGAAAACTGTTGATATAGTTTTAAAATAAAAAAATTATTATAAATGATAATTTATTAATGACAATACTAAAATAGTTTTACGCTGTTACTAAATAATCTTTAAATTGTACATTCATTTGAGAATGAATTTACACTCACAATATTATGCCGAGACTGATAGCATATCGTGCCTAACTAAAATTTTGGAGAAATGTAACAGATAATATTCCATTACGTTTTTAATATGTTGATCGTGTATTAGATGAAATTCCAATTATTTAAGATTGTCTAGTGTTGATAGTGTATTAGATGAAATACTTATGTTTTACATTATTTATTATTTATTTATTACATTGTCTTTTAAACGAACCATAATTATGTTTTTCATTTTGTTATTTTTAGTAGTTAATCAAAATTATAAGATGCTGCATTTTTTTTTCTCTAGAAAGGTAAGAAATGATCAACATTTAAAGAAAACAAAAATAAATTCATCTTTTAAGAAAAAATAATAATATTCTCTTACAAATAAAAACACATAACTACAAAGAAAACTATTTTTTTTAAGTTTTCTCTTCCTACAAAATAAAAAGAAAGAAATTATAGTGTGTTTTATTACAAAAATGTTATGAACTTTTTATAACAAGAAAAATAATTATTAGAATAAAATTAATTTGATGTAGCACTTTTGTTCTCATATTCTCTTACTAGATGTTGATTCAAATCTTCAATCATGTTTCGTTCTTTCTCCTTTAATGTTATTTATTTTCTAAAGGTTATAGTGAGATTAATCTCACGTAAACTTGTTAATGTCAACTACACTTTATTTATGTGAATATTTAACATATCAACACTTCTTTCCTCTCACTTCTTAAACATAATTGTAATGTATACCTATGTGTTTTTGTTATGGAATGAAAGATAATTTATTTGTGACTTATAATATCTCAATAAAATTTCAATTCAAAAAAACATGAAATATAAAAGAAAACTTCCTAAAATATTATTCTATTACTTATCATTTACTGTATTACAGAATACATATAAAATGACTTTTTATATATACTTCATAAATTACATTAAATAACTATATTAATTAAAAAAATATAGCTACTAGGAAGGAAACCTAAAAATAAGGAGAAAAAATAAAGTAGACTAAAGTCATACTTCAGATAAGTATATAAAGATTACCAACTTTTCATAGTTCAACTTCCTATTTAACGGTGATCTTTAAAGAATATATATATATATATAAAAGAAAGCTTAAGGAGAAGATGTTGTTGATAAAAAATACAATAAGGATAATATAAGAAGAGTAACAATGTGAAAAGAGGAAAAAATTTAAAGTGTTCCTATATCGTCTGAAGCTCAATATTTTTTGGGAGAAAAATCCTTGTAAAAGAGACCAACACTTTCAAGTGTTACAAATTGTATTGTATTAGAACATATATCCTCTCGATGAGAGTTAATTGTCTGTATCTTGTAGAAAATCCATTTGTGAATTTGTTGTAAGTTTTGAAGAGAACTCAAATACTTGTTTGTTCAGCTTAGGTTGAGTTGAACGTCTAGATAGTTGTCTAGGGTTAGATCCTAGAGAGGCTAAACTCAATCTAGTTGTGTTGATTAGGAAACTAGGAGTGGTGCTAATACTTGTTGTAACCAAGAGTGGTGAGAATACTCGATGAGATCCTACAGAGGTAAAACTCGTGTATTGGAAAAAAAATAATGGAACCCTTTAAGAAAGAACTAGATGTAAGGTTGAGTGAACCAATATAAAAATTTGTAGTTTACTGCTGTCCTATCCAAAACACTTTCCATTTATCTATATCATTAAAAGCCAACGTCTAACCATTTTAAAATTCATATACATTATCTTTACAAGTCATTAAACGCTGCTTTGCGAAAAGAATTTGAAAAACACCAATCCCCCTCCTCTACTGTCTGTTTTTCTTATATATTTCAACAATTGAGTATTCTTTATCAAACATCCACCTCTACTTAGGATATAGAGATAAGATATTTTTGGGATCTTGAATGATACTTTTTTTTTTTTTACTTAAGATGATTGTTTGTCAATGTGTGAGAGATTGAAACATTCTTCCTTTTAACTTGTTTATTTGAATACTATAATGTTCTTCCCTTAAGCTTTAGTTGTCTTAATTTTCTTTTTCAACATATTTGCACTATGCACATAGTTTCTCATGTTGGGTACAAACAAAGTCCTACATCGGATAAAATAAGAGATGGACATGGGTTTATATACATATAAGATACCTTCATTGGTAAGAGACCTTTTGGAGTGGTACCAAAAGCAAATCCGTGAGGGCTTAGCCCAAAGCGGACAATATCTTATCAGTGTGGAGATCTATGTGTATATGTGTGGGGTGTTGCTCCCTCCACCACCACACCTTTCTCCCTCCACCCCCCCAATTTATTTTAATTCCAATTATATCCTCAGATTAAAATTTTTTACTTTTACTATTTTAATTTATTTCAAACCTAGTTCTCCTACTTTACTCCTGCACCCAATCTTTCCGTCTCTCATTTTCGTTTAATAATTTGTCTTTCGTTTTACTCTGCAACCCAATCTGTCTTCTCCGTTTCACTTCTCCTCCTCCGTTTCTTTCTTCTTCATTTTCCTTACATTATTAAAATACATTAAAAATATATTCAAAAATAATAAATCAAAACATTTAAATTAAATTATTAAAATATTTCCAAAATAAAGAATAAACTAATAAAAGAAACCCTAAAATAAAAAACGTAACTTTTAAACGGAGGTGACATCCTTCAACGGATGTCAACATCCGTTGAAGGATGTTGACATCCGTTGAAGGATTTTGACATCCGTTGAAGGATTTTGACATCCGTTGAAGGATTTTGACATCCGTTGAAGGATGTCTTAAAGGTTACGTTTTTTATTTTAGGGTTTTATTTGAAGGTTTATTTGAATACGCACCTTGAGGAAGCAACACACACTGCACCACTCCACACACTGCACTACGAGAGCGACACTGCACCACGAGAGGGAGACTGCTTGATAATTTTTTCCACAACCACCAACCTTTGTAATTTGTAAAAGAAAGAGAGGAAGAAATATAATGTTAAAATGAAAGAAAAATATTTTACTCATGTATGGGGCACTAGAATAGGTTATTAGTGGAATAGGTTGTGAATGGGTAAAATTAAAAAATAATCCTAAAAATAAAATTTTACTTAAGGGCAAAATAGTAAATGGGAAGTGGAGAGAGAAAGGTGTGGTGGTGAAAGGAGCAACACCCATATGTGTGTGTGTCAAACTTCCTTAAAGTTTTGAGTTGAGAGCGGTGTTTGATACCTTGTATAAGAAAGCAGCAGTTGCAAATATGTTTCTGGCTACTAGCTTCGGTTATTTTGAATCTTTTCCTTTCTTAATGAGATTGATAACGTTGAGTGTCTTTAACGCATTACTACGTGCGTTAATATGTGTTTTTCTTCAATTTGTCAAATTTCCAATAACTTTAATTGCTTTTGAATCAACTTAAGATATAAAGTTGTATCATGTTGACAATTCTTCCAAAGTTGATGATCTTTTGTTCAAGAATTTGATAAAGAAAATTAACTTTTAGCTCTTTGCTCGAAAAATCTTCTGACATGTCTTTTCCTTTAACTAACAAATCTCTTTATCAAACATAAGAAGTAATAGACATTCTTTACAACCATAAAATAAACATATATTTTTTTACTGATTCAAGGTTAACTCACTTTTTATGTTTTTTTTTTTATCGTATGTGAGTTTTCTTAATTAATTTATTAGACATTATCTAAAATTGTCCAATGTTAATCATGTGATAAATAAAATACTTCTGTTTTATATAATTTATTACTTATTTATCACCTTATCTTTTAGACGAATCATTATCACGCTTTTTCACTTTATTATTTTTAACACTAAATCAAAATTATAAGGTGTTGTTCTTTTTTTTTTCTAACAAAGATAATAAATGATCAACATTTAAAGAAAAAATAAAATAAATTCATCTTTATCAAAAAGAAAATTATAATATTATAAAAACTCGTAACTACTAAGAAAACTATTTTCTTTCCTTTTTTAAGTTTTCTTTTCCTAGAAAATTAAAAGGAAGTAAATATAATGTGTTTTACTAAAAAAAAAATTATAACAAGAAATATAAGTATTTGAGTAAAATTCATTTGATGTAATTTTTTTTTATAGAAGATTTTGATTTAAATTTTCACATCATGTTTTATTTTTTTATATTTATATTGTTTATTTTCTAATAGGTCACTACTGGGATCAATCCCAGTTAAATTTATTAGTGTCAAATAAGACTTTATGGATGTGAATATTTTTTGTATCAACATTGGTGTAGTTAAGGGAAACGACAACTATTATTTTTGTCTATAGGCAACAATTTCGTAATCGAGATATATACAAGTGAGACAAAAAGGGTAGACTTTTTGCCTCGGTTGTGAACCAAGGTAAAAGGGGTAGGATTTTGCCTCGGTTCACAGATAACTGAAGCAGTAGGGTTTTCCCTTTTCTATTTTTATTTTCGACAGACTTTTTGCCTCGGTTCCTATTGAACCAAGATAGTATGAAACATCTCTTCCCTTCAACTTTTTCTCCAATAAGTTTAGGGCAGTCAAGTCTGAAATGTGCTCCTCCACACTCAAAACACTTCACTGTTCCTTGATAGGATAATTGTGGTTTTTCACAAGGCTTTTAGTTGAATTTCATTGAAGATTCTCCCTTTGAAGGTATGGAAACCCTATTTGGATCAACCTCCAACAATTCTATCATTTAGGCTTTCTCTACCAATGCTGGAAACTCTTGTATTTCTCATAGCATA